CAGGTGATACCAAAAATCCGTCGGAGGCAATGCATATGGAAGGTGTTCAGCTTCCTCTCCTGCCGGGCACAAAGTGTCCAGGACTCACTGCAGTACAGGAGTGTGCTCAGGACACAGGCTCTATAGACCTGGATCTTGGTATGTGTTGTCAGTTTCTTATTGAGCCATACTCTCTTTGTGAGTCTAGAGAACATGGTAGCTGCTTTCCCAATGCGTTTGTCCAGCTCGACATCTAGAGAGAGGGTGTCAGAGATGGTTGAGCCAAGGTACACAAAGTCATGAACAACCTCCAATTCTTGTGTGGAGATGGTAATAGAGGGAGGTGAGTCCACACCCTGGCCCATGACTTGTGTTTTCTTCAGGCTGATTGTTAGTCCAAAGTCTTGGCAGGCCTTGCTGAAACGATTCATGAGTTGTTGGAGGTCTTCACGGACTTCACGGACGATTCATGAGTTGTTGGAGGTTATTGTTGTATGCTAATGTTTTTATGTTTTTTTAAAATTGTTTTTGATATTCTGTAAGCTGCCCAGAGTGATAGAATATACCAGATGGGCGGGATATAAATCAAACAAATAAAATAAATAAAAAGAGAGGGGACAAAGAAAAAGAAGATGAACACTGATTTGGTACTTTTATACTATTTCATCCCAAAATATCCTGAACATTTGAAATAAAATGTTTATGTGTCTCTTGTTAACTTCTCTTCAACTTTTGATTTAGTGAGCATCTGTTGTTCAGAAATGAAAGAAAGAAGTCAGCCAACTGGTCATGAGCAAAATTCAAAGTCAAGGATGAGTACCTTCATTAGATGTGAATATAATAATTGCTTCCCATTTTTTAAAATGGTAAATGGAATGAAATTTTGGTTCATATTTTGGTTGGGCTTTACAGTGTCTCGGGTAATGCAGATATCCAAATATGTGGGGAAGAGCTTACCATTTGTGATCAGAACAGTTTCCAAGTCTCAGCCTGGAATCATTATTATCAGCTTAACATCACTAGTACTGTAGGGGGATCCGAAGATCTCATATTCTATCCTTGAAAGATTTCTCTTTGAAGACCAGGGTGCCAAACAATGTCATCTACTTTTCTTGTGAAAAACAAGAAAGACTGTCCTTGAATAACATTTATGCCTCTATGGCCAAGGCAGGACAGAGAATATTTTAAATTACTTACAATATTGCCAGTTTTGTGAGAGTCCAAATTGCTTGATATTGTTAGACATATTTTCTGAGTTTTTGAAGTTAGCTAAGATTTATTTCCTGTTAGTAGAGGCAGCTCAACCATGCCAAAAGAAATTCCAGGTGAGGAACTAGCGCTGTGTGCTGTGCATGAGGGGTGGTTTCTGAAGCAAGCTTGGAAACTGCCAATTGTCCTGAAAGTGAATGCTACATTATTAAATAACTGGGAACCTGTTAGGAACATATTTCACAGATACTTACAACACATTATTGTCTTGCACTCAGTTTCTGTGCACAATTAAAAATGTTGATGTTTACCTTTGAATTCTTTTCTGGCTTGGGACCTAGTACCCACCTGCCAGTATATAGAGATCACCTTCAAAGGCCTTTTCCGTGAAGATCCAGCCTTTGCAGCCAATGAATTTGGAGAGGACCTTCTCAAAAGAAACAAAATTCAAAAAAGATCTTAATAGACTTGAGTACTGGGCTGAAAACAACATCATAAAACTTAACAGGAATAAGTGCAAAGTTCTACTACACCTAGGGGAAAAAACAAATGCATAGTTACAAGATGGGTGATAGTTGGCTTGGTAATAGAATGATTGAGAAGTATCTTGGAATTGTTATAGATCAATAGCAGAATATGAGCCAATGGTGCAATGTGGCTGCAAAAAGGGCAAATGTGATTTTATGATGCATTAACAGAAGTATCGTCTCCAAACCCCGTGAGATACTCCTTCCCCTCTATTTGGCACTGGTTAGGCTAATGAATCATAAGCTCCTTGAGAAAGGAGTTGTGCTGTTTTGTTATTTTGTCAATGGTCTTGGACTGTTTTGGTTTGCTTTGGAGGTTTATTTTTCTTTCGTTTCACTTTTTGCTTTTCTGAACAGTGCAAACCATGGACACTGATGGTAGAGATATTTAATTATCCTGAGTAAAAGGCTCAAGTAGAGCAAAAAAAATATCAGAAAATCAGAATACGGTGATTATTTATTTTATTTATTTCTGTCATTTACTGCAGTGGTCCCCAACCTTGGGCCTCCAGATGTTCTTGGACTTCAACTCCCAGAAATCCTGGCCAGTAGAGGTGCTCGTGAAGGCTTCTGG